AAAAAAAAATTAAAAAGAAAGCTCTTTGATTGCAACGCAGTGGGATCTATAGGCTTAAGAAAGGCATTCAAATCAAAAGCGATTATGTAGAGAAGATAAAAGAGGCCAAAGATTACGAATAAATAGAAAAATAACAATCGCCTGTTAAGTCAGGATCCGTTGGTTCGATCCCTGCCATAAGAAGTCTGATGAGTAGATGTGGTGATCTCCGAAACAGCTGTCACTTCTACCATTTTTCTTTGTTGTATAACAAATATTCAATTCATACAAACAACAAGGCCTCGTAGTTTACTTAATAAAAATTAATATTTTTTTTGTTTTTATTTTTTTCTGGTCAACTTAGCGAACTTTTGTCAATTCCCTCGTATGTGGTTTTTTCTGCTTCATGCAACTGTTTTCTTCCGCCAAGTAGCTCATCGATGGCATTATGAAGATAACAATTTTAAGAGTCAACACCTACGTAGAAATATACATACATATATGCGTATGTATGTAAGTATGTGGGTATATTTTTTTATCAAATAAAATATCATTTGGTGTCATATATTTTGAACCAGATATGAACTCAGTTTTTTGTTTGTTTTTTTTTTCTTCTTACTTACTTTTCCATACGCTTTACCCTCTCACGTGTGACTTTTTTTTTGAGCGTGTTGCCATTTCCGTTATCCATATTTCTATTTCACTGAACTTTTGTGCTGCCTTTTATTTGTCAAGCGAATGACTGAACTTGCATACATACATATATAGAACCGTATGCTATTTTTTAAGATATGTGTTTCATGTATGTAAGCGGAAGCACATTGCGTGCTTGATTTTCTACATATTTTTGATTATTTTACAGTAAAGTGGATTTTTCTTATCATACCGTTATTTGTTATGACACACATGACTTTTGTCGTTCATTTGCTATTTCTCCTTACATCGGCGGCTTTAATGTCCTTTCGCTTTTCTCTCAATTTTTCTTAGTAGTGTTCTTATTTCAATGATTTCGAAGGATTTACTGAAACGAAGTTATTCGGAAGATACTGAAATCCTCTCGCCGAGAAGTGGCCACCTTAAAAAATCATCAGCTTTGACACAAAGTGAACATCACTGTGACTCTGTACCTCGTTAGTAATTGCCTCGTTAGTAATTGCTATCGGAATCGGCATCACCTCTACTTCTTCCTCTTCTTTTTCCTCCTAATCTTCTTCTTCTTATTTCCCTTCTTCATCTTCTTCTTTTTAATGCTTACGAATCAACAAAAGCGCGTCATTCGTTCCTTCTCTTCCCTGTTTGGAAATGGCAAGTGAAGCCAAAGCGCAGTCTACCTGATACTTCGAACGGAGTAAGTCTTTTTCTTCATCTGCTTTCACCAGCGGAATACCAAATACTTTCAAATGACCATAAATTGTTCGCAAAACGTTATCTCAAGGACTCCCATGCCAGATGCATCGGAGGTTGACATCGTCCTCCTTTCTGCATCTTATACCAGGACAGGACTTGTGGAGTTTGGTTTTTGTTTCGTCGAAAGAGGCCTAATCAGCCTAAAGAAGCATCTGTTAGTTAGAGTGATTCTACGTTGATTTTCCAGGCTAATAATGTTGTTGGTGTTGATGCTGAGTTCTCTTTAACCTTCAATTCTCGGCCATGCTTTCGTGAGACTATATTCTGCAAAGGAGCTGATGCATACATCTTATCAGCTTTTCACTGCCATGTTGGAATAGCTCTGCTGGTAAGCCATCAACTCAAACCACTTTGTGGTTCTTTAATCGGGCAATACCTATTCGAACCTCGTCATATTAAGGTAACGAAACTTCTTTTTTTCAGCATCTCCGGATATTGTACTTTCACTGCCATTCAGGGGGCTAGAGAAGTGTTCCCTCCATACAGCAAGTGTGATCTGGACTTAGGTCAACACATTCCCATCGAGATTTCTACATGATTATACTACGGACTTGAAACCTTCTGTGAGTCGCCGCATATTTTATTGTCGAGCATTACCACTTCAGTTCTCGCTAGCTATCTCACCACGTACGTGTTGCGACTTTCCTGATTGTACCAGCACTGCCGAAAACCAATTGTTTGAGATGCCGTTCCACAACTTTCTTACATCGAGTTACTTATATGTACTCTCAGAAAAAAGGCATGCAAGTTAGGCTCACATGTCAGCCGTCTATCACATGATTGGCCTGGGGTGAATTTTACGATCTGGGGACAGCCAAGTAGCTTTAGAAATTTTCATTGGCGCTCATAGTTAATCTCTTCGGACGCATCGTCCTTCTCGTTTTTCATGTGGTGGATTCTAAGCTGGCCGACTCGGCTCCAAACGGATGTTTGTTAGCTAGCCAGAGGACCCTTGGTCTAAGACCGGAAGTTTTAAGCTGACTGAATCATATGTAAAAGAATCGTTTCTGGCCTTCCTCAGGTATGCGTATACTTCTACATATAAGCACGTGCTCTACAGCATCACTAACCATTTCAAGAGCTGTTGACAATTAGCACACAGGGTCAACGTGGCTAATATTATGAGTCGTCTGGCTGTTTACGTATACATTGATTTCATAATCGACTAAGATAGAGTGTGAAAGGCGAAAAGCATCAAAGCCTGAAGAGCTTTCAATACTGAGGAAAAGCGTTTGATCTGATTCTCCTAAGCTGATTGGCTTCCCAGATTTCATTAGTAGGACTACTTCTTGCTGTCCGTGTACGGAGAAGCTCATAGTAATCCAAAGCAGTAACATTTTTGGCACCAATCAGCGGATTTAGAAGTAAAACTCTGCTCTGTTGCATTTTTATCTCTCCCTCTCTGCCTGCTGATGCTATCTGGAAGGTAAGTCTGCCCGAACTAACACAATTGTACGAGTATATAAAAAAGATATCAACCGAACGTACGTGTGCGTTCCTACTTTAATTTTGATTTATGTTTTCTCATTGGCTTAACAAGAGCAAATAAATTGGAAAGCAAGGAGATGGTGTCCAGTAATTGTCCAGAACAAAAGAAACCAATTTTGTTGCGATTTAGATGAGGAGCATCTTTGTGTGTGTATAGAGGACGAAACAATTCTACATATTGATGTACCTTAAAATCCGTATTCCGTTCGTGACAGCTTTGCTGGGGTGGTTGTTATTTGAAATTTCATCAAATTTTGACAATGAAAACAGCGCTGGTTATCTCTGAATATTAAAAATTTTAATGAGTAAATCAATGCATAATCTGCTTTTAATTGAAATGCTTCACATTTAACTATGAGCTAAACTCAAAAATCTTTTTAGCCACCGACAAGTAGCGCCAATGAGTATTGACATTTCTTATTACCATCCATGTCTTAAGAATAACTACAGTAGTGGCAATGTAAAAAGGATTTGAAAACCTAATATAATTAAATATTCAATTATTCTGACTGTAGTGACAGCAAATCAAACTATCGCTCAGACAGTTTGAGCGCCATAGCACAATAAAAGCGAAGACAAACACCGTTGGGTGAAATAGCCGAGTTCTAAATCAGATGGTTTCAAATTGAGAAAAACGGTTTCATGAAAATAGTTAGAGCGGATTTATAATTCGATTTCGATCGGAAACGGATTGAATTCAATCGGAATTACATAATCGTGTTCTGATATCTTCCCGGTTTTACTTTTTCGGAATCTATGTTCTTGGTGTTCCATTTAAGAAAACAAGAAATGTATTGTGGTGAAAGTGAGGAGAGACCGAAAACTAAGGCATGTTCGCTATCGAGAAAAATCAAGAGGAATCTTCTAAAAGGTGCATGCGAGTAATCTCTAGCTACATAAGAGCAAAGCACACACTGCTGGCTTATTCACTTGAGTTTGGAATTCGGTAGTGACAACATCGGAATGAAGTCACGTCGAGAGTAAAGAGGTATTTACAGGAAAATAAACTGTGTGTTTATAATAAAGATGCTGAAAACAAATATTGGGAAGTTTATTTAACAATTTAATAAATAATTCATCAAGGCATGTTTTTGAGTTTTTCTTAAAATAAAGTAAATTTCTTTTATTTAAGTATGGTTCCAATTCACCAAAGAACTTATATTAATAATTAATATACGCTCTTAGCTACGGTTACACTTCACTTAATACCTTGTTCGAATCAACACCGAAAACACTTTGAAAAGGAGTTTTGTGGGCAAAAGTGATTTCGCACCGACTTCAAGTGTTTTCGTTAACATTTTTGACACGTTTTGTAAGCAAATACATAAGAAACCTGATAAGAAAGAGATAAGTTATTACATTTTATAATTGGATTGGACAAAAAGTATTAACATCAAAGATGATTCAGTTTTTAACTTTCAAAATATTGTAAGTTATAAAGCAATGACTTCTTTAAGAAACATTTCATTATTTTAATATCGTGCATACGGAAGTTTTCCATGAAAGAATAACATCACCTTAAAAGCGGAAAATTGGATTGTCCCGCTTAATACTACAAATTCAATCTCTTTACTTTTCAATTCATGAACTTTTGAGTTTAGGACACGGCTTATAATGTAGTCAATTAACCTTCGCTTCCAATTTAATATTTATCTAAAAAAACTTAGGTAAAAATATTTAACAAACCAGTGCAGATATTAGAATCAGTGGAACTTGGCGTTTTCAATGGTTTTCAGATTTCATGTAGTGAAAAGACAAGTTTTCATGCATGATCCACTTTTTGCTACAAAAAATTATTTGAAATCAGTTCAAACATGGTATTTTTGACCAAAAATTTTTGTTAAGTATAGATTCAAATCAAATATAATTTATATAACTTTCGTTGCGATCCCAATAGTTTTGCCGAATACCTTTTCCCCTTCTAATCGGAAATCCAAATCGATGCGAAATCAATTCCGGTCGGATTTCGGAACACCACACAATTTTTAAGTTCTAAAAACAGAACTGGAACTTTTATCAAAACGGCAACACTCACAATTAAGAAGTACTAAAAATTAGCCAATCAGAAACGAACAGATGTTAAAGAAGAGAAAACTTAAGAGCAGAAAAGGTATTTAAGAAATTGCATGACATTACCAATTGGGAAAAGTTAAAAGAAACAAGTACTGCAGAACAAGACACAAAACCGTGTGGTAATTGTTGTGTAAAATTGATTAAAATTGTGTATTTACACAAAGAAGAAATAACTATAGTATATAAATACATAGTCTTCCTTATAATTATAAAGAAAATACAATAATAACTCAAAAGTATACCTTTCATAGTCGCCGGTTTCCGCTAAAGCGGTCTAGAAGAATCTGTACAACAAAAAAAAAAAAGAAAAACTTGTGTGTAATCTAAAAGCGATAAAATGAAATTCATACTATGTAAGTAGAAGAAACTTGTCAATTAATATCTGAAATACAGTTTCCTGTGTTTTTGATTAACTTTCAATACATGCATGCTCTTATCTTTACAGCCACACTTGTGCTAGTCGCTTTGGCTACAGTGCCCCTGCCGGCTTCTGCTTTATATTCTCCGAGCGATGACGTGGTGGAATTAACGCCCTCAAACTTCGACCGTCTCGTCATCAATGATGATGCTATTTGGGTTGTCGAATTCTTTGCGCCATGGTGCGGTCACTGCAAATCTCTAGTACCGGAATATAAGAAATTAGCCTCGGCTCTGAAAGGTGTAGTTAAAGTTGGTTCCGTTAATGCTGATGAGCATCGTTCATTAGGCGGACAATATGGTGTTAAAGGTTTCCCAACCATTAAAATATTCGGCACTAACAAACGTTCACCAACCAGTTATAGCGGCCAACGTACAGCTAAAGCTATTGCGGAGGCGGCACTTGCTGAAGCTAAAAAGAAAGTACAAGATGTTTTAGGTGGCGGCGGCGGCAGCAGCAGCGGCGGTAGCGGTTCGGATGCTGTCATTGAGTTGACTGATGACAATTTTGACAAACTGGTTTTGGAATCAGATGATGTTTGGTTGGTTGAATTCTTTGCACCATGGTGTGGTCACTGCAAGAATTTGGCACCCGAATGGGCTAAAGCCGCTAAAGAGTTAAAGGGAAAAGTTAAATTGGGCGCATTGGATGCGACTGTGCATCAAAGCAAAGCTTCGGTGAGTGATGAAATTAGTAATATTTAATTATGTTTTACATCACACATTTAGCCATAATATTTTCATATATTATTATAAAATAAATATTTAATAAGTTTCGAATTTATTCCTTTTCCAGGAATACGGTATTCGCGGCTACCCCACCATTAAATTCTTCCCCGCCGGCAGAAAGAGCTCTAGTGATGCCACCGAGTATGATGGAGGACGAACTGCTTCCGATATTGTCAGCTGGGCGCTTGATAAACACGTTGAAAGTGTACCACCACCAGAATTATTGGAAATTTATGATGAAACTTCCTTTGATAAGGCTTGTGAGGGTAAACCACTTTGTGTCGTCTCCGTACTGCCACATATTCTCGATTGTGATGCTAAGTGCCGTAATAAATTCCTCACTGTACTCCGTGAATTGGGTGAAAAGTATAAGCAGAAACTATGGGGCTGGGCCTGGGCTGAAGGTGGTGCACAAAGCGATCTTGAAGAATCCTTGGAAATTGGCGGTTTCGGTTATCCTGCTATGGCTGTTGTCAACTACAAGAAAATGAAATTCTCCGTGCTCAAGGGCTCATTCTCTAAGGACGGTATTAATGAATTCCTGCGCGATATTTCCTATGGTCGTGGTCACACCGCCCCTGTGCGTGGCGCTAAGAAACCAAAAATTGTCGCTGTAGCACCGTGGGATGGTAAAGATGGCCAATTGCCTGCTGAAGAGGAAATTGACTTGTCTGATGTGGATTTGGATGACACAAAGGATGAACTGTAAATTGTTCTGAGCTGAGAGGCGCATACATTTGTATGTATTGTATTTTGTGAAAAGCCAAAACTAAATATATTATACTAGGAGCGGATAAAATTTAAAACCACCAAAAGCAAAACTTAAATGAACTTCAGTTTATGCTCAAATCTTTTTTTATACTCTACTTAACTGATCATGTGGGCAAGACAGTGTTTTTAATTGTCATACCAATATAGGATCCTTAAAAAAACATGCAATTGCATTTACCTACATATATGTATATGATCGAGTGTAATTATATCCTTATACTTAATGAGTTATTATAGTAGTCAAGTGTTGTAAAATTCCTCCACGCAACCTAGTTTAGTTTTATAATAGATTTAAAAATCCCAAAACATTTAGTTTTAAAACTATTTAACTTAAATATGAGTATATATTTTTAGAGCCAACACAAAACAACTTACAACTGATAACAGATTAATATTTTTTTTTATTACGAATTTCTGAGCTCAATATATGTATGTACGTATGTATATGAAAATGAATAAAGAAAGTAATATTTAAACCCAAATCTGGCTTAGTATATAAATTTCTCGACGGGATTAAAGCATCGATGCATGAAAAATATGCTTTTTTTACATAGTTTTCATTACTTCCTCTTATTGACTGCATAATGTGCTTTTTTACTAACTTATACAAAGCACGCCACAGCCGCACGTGCAAATTGGTTCTTTTATCATGATAACACCACGCCATAGATATGGAAAATTGATTGAGGTACCTAAGATACAAACGAGAACAGTTTATATCGTCCGCTCTGATATTAAATCATACTACAAAGTATTGATGAGAATGATGTTTCTCTTATAACTGAGGTTATGTTCGCAGGTTGTGAAATGTAGATTTAATTTGGTAAGCTTTATTGCACTAAAAGAAAGTCTTTTTGCCGCAAGACGGAAAATACTAATTGCAAGTAATGAGAATTCCACCAAAAACATATTTTGAAATAATTGTGTAGAGAAAAGAAAGATAGCAGATACACAGCAAATGCAAGCAACAGACTTGGAATTATTTAAGATTTCGACAGAAAGTAGAAAAGGCTTCTACATAAATATAATTAAAGTGGTAGCTAACAAAACGTGAGCTTGATATATTCTTATGATAAGCAACACCTCGTCATATTTTGCGCAAAACCACATTTTTTTTCTTATATGTATAAGAACGAAACAATTGTTTATTATAAAAAGACAAGAGAGTATATTTATTTAAGTATTTTTGTATACATAAAGTTCATATCAAAATGCTAGTATAAAAATATATATACGCATACGTATTAATAAACAAATTACACACTACACTTGTATATATAAATATGCTAAGTCTTGTATATAGATAACTCCATATGTATATCATTAAAAATGAAGTTTTGTATATAAAACGTTTAAAAAAATTGGCATGTCATTCGAGTTTATAATTTTTTTTCTTTATAAGATTGTTGTAGCTTAAGACGATAATGGGAAACTTAAAAGAAATACGGATATGAAGAGTGCATATTGTGTATATTTATTGGTAAATGCTATTTGTTCAATATTCTCTACGTTAAATATTTTATATTGGCAGTATTTAATTAATTACAAAAAATTATGGAATTTCTGTGCTGATACGAAATTAAATTAACGCCATTAATGCTTTTGTGAAGATTCTTCTCTTTTTATCTACATTCCTCATATTATATTCGAGTGGATTTACTTATTTATGTTGGAAGTATTGGAGGTGGCTTAAAACTATGTGAAATGTTATAATAAAATGTATGTATTTCAAAATGGACTTTAAGATATATACTGATTCAACGTTTTGTTTATGAATTTAAATACGTTTGTTCCTTTAACACAACCTGGAGTGTCACTAAATTATTTAAATATGTCTAATATTAGCTTTAGGTATATTTAAGTAAGTACTTATACGTGTTTTTAGCATCAATTGCATGCAAAGGCAAGATTCGACTATTGTTTTTGGCAAAAATTATATAAAAATAAAAACGAAACGTATACCTAATTATTTAAAAATCTATCAAGATAATTTCAACAGAATGTGTTGTGTTGTTTGTAGATCTTGCTGGGCCACAAAAAATTTCATTTAAATTTCACGTAAAAAGAATAAAAAAAAGTATGTGTTGAATATTGGCACATATATAAATATTTTTTTTTGCATAAGTAGAGTATAAATTCAAAGTTGATGACGCATAAGCTGCCACTAACCTAATAGTAGCTGCGCGAGTTTTATAGGAAGCATTAAAATAATAAAATCTTATTCTCAATCCTTAACCATAAATTTTGCTTTAAAAATTAATGCTAGTTTTAACTATATGCTAAATAGAAAAGTAGAAAAAATATTTTTGTAGTCTTTCAAGTTGCCTAAAATTTTTCAAAACACTTTCAATAAGCGTCTTACACAAAACACACACAATAAATGACCTCCCGCAATGTTTTTCTCCTCTCAGTGCTTTTGATCTACTGGAAAATTTTCTATCGATTGAATTGAACGTGATGTAGCTGAGGTAATTGTAGACGAAACATCCATGAAGCGATATTTTTTCTCATCACGACACAAAAGTGGATAACACATAATGCCATAGTAAAATATTAGGCAAGCCAAAATTATAAAAAAGATTATCGTGATTATACCAAAAGTTGAAAAGCCCGACTTTCTGTCCAAATATTCTTTGGGCGTTTGTGGTGGTTCAGTTACTTGTGGTGCTGGCGTTGGTTGATAGCCACCATAATAGCCACGGCGTCCTGCAGTGCGACCCGCATTTATGCTTGTAAAGTGGCAGGTAGCTGCAGTTAAAATTGTAAAGTAAATGAGTTTTGATTTAGTCAAGACTGTAGGAGCAGAATTATACAATCCCTTACCAATTATGCACAAAGCGATCACAAAAGCGTTTTTACACATTTTATTTGCACAAACTTTAATGTTTTTAACTGCTACACTTGTTGATATTTTCAGCGGGGAACAATGGATATAGTTTAGATCTCCTTGTCTGCTAAACTTATTTGTTAATATTTGCTTTTGGTCTTCTGCTGCTTCTTCTGATTCAAGGCAAACGCGTTTATGTCGGTGCTGCCAATTGGATAATGATAGGATAAATTCAAAATGTGCTGCCACCTAGCGATTATGTTATAACAGTGTGGACAAAAATTCTCAACAAAATTTAGCACGTACATAACATTGTGGGGAAGGGTGTAAGTACATATAAATGCTGACCGACTTTTGTAACGGGAAGAACGAGTTCAGAGCGACGTCACGTATACCTTTTCGAATGAAAATTTTGTTAAATAAAAAATTTTAATAATCGGTACGAGTTTTAGTAAAGTTTTTCCGTTTTAGTTCACTTGATCTGATCAATTTGTTTAGCATATTCAGGTCGTTTATGGACATTGGCATTGAAAGTGATTGGAGTGCATAATAAGAGAGACAGATTACAAGTATAATATACATAAGATGGCTTTATTTGCATTAACTCGTGTGTTATTTGAAAGTTTTTTACTATTCCCCATTCACACTGTCAAAAGAAGATATACTCGTACAAGACCAGCAAAAAAGAAATATATGAACAAGTGTAACAATTTCAGGGGAAGAATGTTAAGTTTTAAAATAAGTAGTTTTGTTTTATTTCTACTTTCCGTTTCGAGTTCAAGACTTTCTTTAAATCAGCTGATAATTACACGTGCATATGTGTGTGCTGTGTGTCAGGGGTAAAATGTGCATTTGATCCAACTTAACTCAACTGGTAAGTCTCCCCTACAAGGGCAGTTCATTATAAACGCTTTTAGGCCCCTATTTAATTTCTCAACAGTGTAGACCACTGTGAATAGCTGAAAAATGAATTCCCTGCAGGAATTTCTCTTCAACTCAGTTACATGATAGAGGTCTCCAATTCGATTGCTTTTATTACGAAAGTTTATGCACTAACAATTAGAGATACATACATATATTGTTTGTATACGTATGCAAGTACTCGTATATATCTTTATCACATAGTATTCACAGCGCAATTTTGACCTCCGGTAAACTTCCACTTAGAACAGCACACCTTTGCGTTATCACATTTAATTTTAGGTAAAAATTACGACATACTCACAAATATACAAGGCATAATAAATTACTGATAAGGAATAAAAAACGAGGCCACGAATATTGATAAATAGAATAACCTATTGCGCACTGAATTTAATTATTTTTAATTGTTTTCCAATAGTTTGCTTGCTTGCTGGTAATTGCTTTCTTTTTCTTCGTAAATTATCTTTGAAAAATGTGTTTACAGTTCAGGTATTTTAAAGACTACGCAATATTTAAAACTCAAAGTGTATAAATATATACATACATATATTTTGAAGTTTACGTAAACATGTAAAAAAATCATCGCTGAAACGATTTTCAGTCGAACTCCTCCTCCAATTTGTTGTTTTGCGTCAAATGGAGGGACCTACAGTTTAAACTAAGCCGCCTTCGAACGGCTGTTGGTTTTTCCTGTCCGAAATACACTCGGCGGTGTTGACATTATTAACTGCCGAGGGGCAGCTGCAATTAGAAAGTTTAACTTTATTTTTTTATTTTCATTTTTCAAATTACTTTTCTATAAGTTTTGAATGTTAGCACGACACCAGGATTTAAACCCGAGACCTTCCTAATGGCAGTACGCAATCCTAACCGTTCGGCTACCGCGGCCACCAACTTCCGCATAACCGTCGGAAAATTTAGTCTTCACGACGAGATGTCTCTGCGTTGATACTGATCGACTTCGACGGGGCGCGAAATATAGCACGAGAAAATTCATAAAACTTTTTGGATGTCTCCAAGGTCGGGTGCAACCGACGGGTACGATCAACATCCAAAAGTTATAGAGCAGCAGCTGAGTACAAACTGTAGGTCCCTCCATTTGTTGGGAAAACATCAATATTATAGCAATAACATCAATATTATATTATTATATATGTAGTATTCCCGAAGTTACTTTTTTTGCCCACCCGGCGTTAAATTCGTCAAACAAAATTACCATATTGGGGTGGAGACAGCGCTCATAAGTACACTCGAGGTACTCATAGAAGGCATTTTTGGTCGCATCGACTTCCTCTACCGTCGGGACGTTGCCATAAATGAGGGCAGAACTTCGCGGCGGGAAATTCATCAACCGCGGTGGATGCCAAGACTGGGCGCCTGAGTCTCTCTCCCATCACGAATTTAACATCAAAATTACACTCTTTATATATATATACTACATCCTGTAGTAGATGTCACAAGGACCCGTCCATTGCACAAATCATATTTGAATATTTTTAAAATTGGCTCAATATATTAGACTATCTGTGGCATACATATGTACATACAAACAGATTGTACTAAAATCAGTTTAAATTTCCATGTGGGAGTCACACTTCAAGAGCAAATAAGAATCTACTGAATATTTATAAACTAGAATCACGTAGCACGTACATAAATATGTAGTAATAAATGTATGTAAATGTTAGTACTATGTATAGGTGAATGTTTATAAATAGAGAACTTGTTGAATAAAGCGAATCAAGCAATAAACATGAGAATATCGAAAAACTTAAGAAATACGTATATACGTAAATACATATCTTTCACTATATAAGCGTGTAGCTTTATTTTTATTGCTGTGTATATATTGTAGATATGTATGTAAAAATGTATGTATATTAGCATTTTTGAAGGAAAATAAACAAAGGCGTAGTACAGAAATCAAAATAAAAAGCGCGATTAGAAGCCGGCACACATTAAACGTAATATGAGGAGGAAGTAAGTAAAAAAAATAGACTCTTATTTTGTGTATATGTGTGTATGTATTGATGTATGCATGTACATATTTGCTTATAGCTGTGTACAGAAGCACTAATGAAATGTATTTACGTTTAAGATCGTGTTGGTTAGATGAGTTAAGTTTCTACATCGCCAGCTGTTAGATCATCTTACATACAGATGTAGGTATGTATGTATCGGCATTTTTGTATTGAAATGTTCCGAAAATCGTATGTAAATGAACGAAAAATTCAATATTTATACGCAGTAGAACACAAGTCAGAATTACTTTAAACAAATTCCAGCAACATTCAATGCCTGATAACATTAAATACCCGCACATAAATAATATATAGCAACATTTTATGTGCGTATATACGAATACATTTTATATATGCACATACATACACATTTCACTTTTAGCGACATAAATTTTTCTAAAACAATATTTTAAGTAGCCTTATTGAAAGCAAAGGAAATTATAGTGGTTTGAAATTTTTTCGCCTCAATGAAATAATAAAAAAAAAATTTTAATTTAATTTTAATTTTTTTTTAATTTAATTTTTTTTTTAATTTAATTTTTTTAAATTAATTTTTTATTTTTTTAATTTTTTTAATTAATTTTTTTTTTAATTTATTTATTTTTTTATTTAATTTTTTTTAATTATTTTTTTTTTTAATTTATCTAATTTTTTTTATATGAGCCGCTCAGTGCATACATGGATTAACTACGCTTTTTAAAAAATCTTAAATTAAAGTGTCAGAGCCTTTCGTGTAGCCAAATAATAAAGATTAGCACCGTTAAATTGCAAATTTTGTTTTTCCATTTGATAATAAGTAATTTCCCTGCAAAAAGGCTTTCGATTATTTGACCCAACAAAAAAAAAAAAAAATATGGACGTAAAAAAACACAAGCAGTGACGTACAAGCCGAACACATATCAGCGAAAGCATTGTTGTCGAAGGAAATCAGCTTTGACAAATATTTTCCCTCCATATATACATACATACAAACAATATTAAGATTCAGTCTTTATTTCAATATTCAACATAAATCATGTACGTGGTTTACTCAGCATACAAAAGCAACATAACAATACAACAATAAATACGGTACAAAAATCATCGAAATATAATAAGAAGAAGTCTTTAATAGTGACGCTCCTCCTCAGCTCCTCAGCTTCACGAACGCCTCCGTCATAATCGCAGCTCCTTTGAAGTGTAAAGACATCTAAGTGGAAAAAAATAATGTATGAATAATAATGTTATTAATGTCTAAATGCAGTTGTACCTTCACTTCTATCTACTACGGAGAAAACGATAAAAAAATTGCGTTCTATTCGAAAATAAGAACAAAGAAAATCGGATAATCCGTTCAACTGCATTCTTCTTCAATTTGTATATACTTAGAAGAGTAAGATAAATAAAAAAATGTGCATATGTGTTAGTGCTGCCCGAAATCGTGTAAGTGTATTGGTGAACCCATCAGCCCGTTCCTGCAGGATTATTTCAGATGCCATTTCGATTACCTCCATACTCTAATGTATAAATCGTTTCAGTAACTTTGTATCTGTTCTGTAGTTTCATTCTCTCTTTGCAGTAGGCTTCATAGCTATCACGGAAATCAAATGAAATTTTTGGCAGTTGGACATAGCTGTTTGCCCAATGACTCAGATTTTGCCATTATTGAGTCATGTGCGAAAAAAATTAAAATTTTTTTTCACCATACCATACCAATGAAAATTGGTACTATATAGTCAAGATATGTAAAAAAAAGCACCATTTCGTCTAATCGAAAAGACTCAACAAGATTTTTTGTCAACAAAACCTTTAGAACAGTCTCTCTTTAACAGAAAAGCAACCGTCGCAGGGCTTCCAGTAAGAAAGGTCCAAACCCTACCTCATACAATTCAAATATGACTATAATGAAGATACACGGCCATTAATATAAGAAAATCTTTAGTGGGTAGACCGAAAAGTTCTTTAAATTTAAATTAAATTTAAAATATATACAGGGTGCTCCATCTTTTAAGTCGGTAAATAAGCGCTGAATAACTTTCACATTTACGTCAATTCAGTACAATTTTTGCCATGGATCGCTTCACACCGAAACAACGTGCTGAAGAGGTAATGCCCAACGCAGAAAAATGGAGTCTTTTTGTAATTACTAATAAAGGTAGCCACTTGATTCATATTTTTTTCAAAAACTAGTCCCAAAAAATTGAATAAAAATACATTACATACGAGGTGTGTTCAAAAAATATCGCAAATTTTGATTTTTCGCGGGTTACGTATAATCGAACGAAAGCAACGTTTTGACGGTGGTACAAAATGTTCTCAGAAGGTCGAGAAGATGTGAACGACGAAGAAATCGGTTGTTTTCTCTCTAAGTTATTCAATGATCAAAAAGATGGAGCACCCTGTAGATCAGCTTTTATTATATCCTAAAGGTAGAACTGTGACAAAGGAAAAATGGAGAAACCTGATGATGGATCTGCTAAAATTCATTCCTCCTGTTATACACGATTATTAAAAGAACTTTTCAACAATTCGAAATGGCGAATTCTCGCAAACAGCTGATGAAGAAGACATTATTTATAATATTGCTGAATCATCCCAAAGAATAATGCCGTCAACATAAAGTTGTTATGAATTAATTACAAAAATTATATTATCACCGAAAATTTATTTTTATGGAAAAGCATTGTTAAAAGTGTATAAGAACTAACTTTTCTTTAAAAAAAACTTAAATATGTAAAGACTAAATTTAACTTTATTTCCTTTTTTCAGTTGACGAATCGATTAACTCCAACAGTCACTGACGATGGTTTGTTGGCTATTCTTTTTTATTAATTTTATATACCGTTAAATGAATAGTATATCTGCAACTATGCATTCTAAATTATATATCTGAGTTCATATTATCAGCGGAATTTTTAAAAACAATAAACATTACATCATCGCGTTTCTCAACTTTTCGTTTTATGGAACTAGATAAATATACTCATTTTATATCACAAGTAAATTAATAAAATTAATTTCAAAAATATTTAATGAAAGAAATATTATTTTGTTCTAGCAAAATTAGTATGATTAATTTATTATTACTGCGTAAATTCTTCTCAATCAATATGAATATTTCAGCTGTATATATTTAATTAATACAGTCATACATATTAAAACAATAACTGATAGATAACCCTTGTTTTATGAAAATATAAAATAAAAGCCAAGAAATATACATACATATATACGATTGCATGCATATTTATATGGAGGAGTATACGTTCAGCAACGTAAACTGTTTTAAAATTGTGAAATGACAATACATACACACGTATGTAGGTATTTAGTTGCAATTATTATTTAAACATATTGATTAATTTGCGAAAAAATGTAATGTGAATAAACTGAAGCAATGTCATTATAAAAAAAACAAAATTTCAGAAAGTCAATGAGTCATACATCAATTTAAGAATCCATTTTATAAGGCTGAAAACAAGATTTATTATTTTTTGCTTTTTTATTTGATATTTATTTATTTTATTCTATTTTATTTTAGTTTATTTTTTTGTTTTGTTTTGCTCAATTTTATTTTTTTTATTTTATCTTAATTTACTTTATCTCATTTAATTCAATTTTATTTAATTTCATTTTATTTTGTTTCATTTTATTTTACTTTTTAATTTATTCTATTGAATTTTGTTTCAAGATATTTTATTTCACTTCATTTTATTTCATTTTGTTATTTTATTTTAAAGTTTTTTTATTTTGTTTTGTTTTATTTTGGGTTATATTATATTATTTAATTTTGTTTTAATTATTTTAATTTAATTTAATTTTATTTTAATTTATTTTATATTGTTTTATTTTATTTTATTTAAATTTATTTTATTTTATTTAATTTTAAGTTACTTTATTTCATTTCATTTTGTTTCATTTCATTTTATTTCATTTAATTTTATATTTTAGTTGATTTTATTTTATTTTGGTTAATATTATTGTATTTTTTTTTAATTTATTTTATTTTATTTTTTTCAGTTACTTTATTTATTTCTTTTTGTTTTATTTCATTTTGTTATTTTATTTTATTTATGTTTATTTTTTTATTTTATTTGTTTCATTCTATTTTAATCTAACTTATTTTGATTTAATTACTTTATTTACTTCTTTTTATTTGATTTCATTTTGTTATTTTATTTTATTTCATTTTGATCTATTTTTTTATTTTGTTTTAATTTAATTTATTTTATTTTGTTTCATTTTATTTAATTTATTTTTTATTTAATTTTTTTATATTTACTTTATTTTATTTATTTTTATTTAATTTTTTATTTTAATTCATTTAATTTATTTTTTTCGGGTTTGAGGGTTTTCTGTCCTGGTCCGACCAACATCCAAGAATTATATAAAAATAATTTAAATAAAAAGTTAGATTAAATTATCTTAAAGTGATAGCCCCAAGGTAGGGAACGTCAATCGGTATCAAAGCGCCAATTTTATATTATATTTAATTTATTTTATATTATTGCAGTAATTATTTCATTGAATTGAATTTTATTTTTTTCATGATTAAAACCCGAACTGCTACCATAAAAATTTCAAGAGCAATTAACGATATTCTGAGCAAAATAGTGGATTCAGCAAATTTAGCTTGCCTTTTTTTGTACATAACATACATACATACATATATGTATAAATACATATTTATTATTGAAAAACATATCTAAAGTGAACCAAACAAAGTTGTTATTATTTTTTTTTTTTGAGTATCTATACATACATATATTAAAAATTGCTAATTTGCAAAAAAATGTCAATTAAAAATGATTTGTATTTAAAGAAATTTTCAATAAAATATTCAACTAAAAAATTTTAGAATTTTTCCACGTTTTTAGAACATGTGATTTTTTATTTCGTTTGTTTATTCGTGCATACCTATGCAAATTCATATTGAAATTTTTCTATGCATTAAAATTTGCTTCCCCTTAAAATTGTAAAAAAAAAAATATTTACTAAACTGTTGTGCAGCTTGGCTTTTGAATTTCGTGCAATAAATTCCAAAACCTGTTCCGTATTTCATTTCCGATATGCATACATATGTGCATATATTACATATGTACATATGTATGCCATAGATATAGTCCGTTTTCCGCAAAATAAGGAACGAGTTTTTTATCGCCTATCAACAAGAAATATTTGGATTCTTACAACGTTCAAATGGTGTTAGCCCATGGTCGCATGACATTCGGTCAACCCAGGTGCATAGAAGTCCTCGATTTATCTCTGACCATCCGGATATATGGAAAATAGAAAGAGTGGTCCCGCTACTACAAAGGAGAGCCATATCGGCCGATATGTCTCATTTACTCAGTAGCGAGGACTCTTGAAGACTTGCTGCTACCGACTTTTACACACCATCTAAGTGCAGCAACACATCTGAAAGGCTTCCGTAAAGCGCACAGCACCACTATACTGAATGGCCTGGTGGCACTAGATCAAAAACTTTTGATACTACTGACAGAATTCAGTGCTACTATCGGACATTAAGGAATCGTCATTACCGTCGGGGTTGAAGAGGTGGACCTTGATCGTCAATCAACGGTAGACTTTCAAATTCAAACATGTAAACTAAGAAAGATTATACAAGGGGCTTTAAACAGTGGTGACATCTCTCAACAGCTGTTTAACTTTAGTATCTAGAGACTTCCTCCTCCAGCGGAAGGAGTTTTACTGATATTATATGATGATGATTGCTCGATATTGGCGTCTGGCCAAGATATTGATGACTTATGTTCGGAAGTGAATTCCAAGACTATTATAACAACAACTAGCAAAATCCTAGGCAACCCTCTTCACTACCTAGACGACCTCGATGTGGAAGTCCGACTATAATCAGCCATCACGACAATCGTTGCGGGTTTACCCTGTGCGTGAGGAGCTCGGGAATTTACCCGCTACAGTCGGGTCTTTATACCGCACCACCAGTATTTTTATCCGGTCAAGCACTGTCACTGCCGCAACATTCCCCAAAAACTATTTTGAGGAATATTTTTGCGGTTACAACAAGACAACCGTTGGACAGGCTTACCTACCGACAGGCATTAAACGCCTTCCACCGAGTGTCCGTCAACACTTTACTGAACTCTCATCCAGTGATTGACGTTCTCGGACGAAGACGAAGAGATCGAGCGAAGAGCTCGAGATTCCAACGACCGATCCTGCTTGTAATGGTCCCTACACGACACTAAAACCAACGCATCTAACTTCCCTCCCCATTTGGCACGAACCCATCGAAACAGCACGTTTCCTGGACCTCCCGTAAGATGACCTAAGCTGGGTCAGCAAACCGATAAAACAGGAATTAAACGCCATTCACCGAGAGTCCGTCAACACCTTCTTGAGCTCTCATCCAACGATTGGCGTTCCCGGAGTCAAACCACCAACTAGTGTAGACGAAGAACTCGAGCTGCCTTGAGAGGGACGCGCAACTTACCTCTGGATATGTTGCAGGTTGAACTCTTGCCTATCCAGTGTAGACGCAGACATACCCAACGTATGTCCAGCATGTAACCCGAATTCGTCGAAACAGCTCATTTTCTGGACTGCCCGTAAGATGACCTCGATGAGTTCGACTGATCTAGCCTTCTGCCTTCTTTCCATTTTAAGTAAAAAAAACTTTTCTTAACCAATTTTTTACCACTTTAATTTCAAAGTTCAAGGACCGTTTCATCTAATTTGTTATTAAAAACTTTTCAAGATTTTGAATTTCGTTTATCTAAATTTAAAATTATTTATGTAAATGTTTATTGAGTCAATCATTCAGGTGGCCCCTAGGTGCAAGGTACGCGATAGTACCAAGAAAACAAAAACAAAAATCCCATGTATTTTGTTTCTGTGATTATAGTTTCGAAAAGTCAAAAACGAAAATAGTTCAATGTATTTTGTATGTGTAATTTGTTGAAATGAAAGAAAGAACAAGCAATCATATGATGTGACAACTTCACCATCTAAAAATTCGCCTCGGTAGGTGCTGAATACAAACCAAGGCGAATTTAACAAGGTGGAGTTACTAGGGCAGCGAGTTCAACTTTTTTGATTTAATTACTTCACTTCAGTGTAAAGATGGTCAAAATGTTTGCTTATTTTTTTATGGTTGTTTACATTTTAATTTATTTATTTATTTTTTTATGAATTCGCCTTGATACAAACTGAGATTTCAATATTTTCAAAATGAATTTCCTTTGATTTGCTTTATGTTTGTTTTCATATTCATTCTTTATTGAAAAACTACATATAAACAAAATGCATAAATGTAAGTAGAAATGTTTATTTGAAAAAACCCATTTTCCAAACAGAGGCGTACGGATTTGAAAGCTTTGTTAAATATTTTCGCAGTGATCTTGATGAAATTTACGAGCGACCGAGATTTAAGGTACATACATATTGTTACGATTTT